AGATACTGAGCTACTCAAGGCTGTACAAGACTGACTGTAACTGAGGTTACAATTAGACTCCCACTGATAGAACAGTGAGGCACTCCAGGCTCTACTGGACTGGCCTGACTACACTGTGAACTTGATTTATTTGTCAACATCAATTATATTCTGACTCCCATTAACACTGGCAGAGATGTCTGAGACACTGCAGGTCAGACTGGGCTGACTTTACTGTGAACCTGATTTAGTTTTTAACTGGGACTAAATCAGACTCCCACTGACAATGACGGAGCAGTTTGAGACACTCCAAGATGTACAGGATAGGACTGCCTGTATCGTGTGTGAGCTGGATTAGTGATTAACTGAAACTTTATAAACAGGCTTCCACTGACATTGACAGAACAATATGGGCCACTACAGGCTGTTCTGTATGGACTTTACTGTGAGATGGATAAGTTATTAGTTTTATAATAACACTGGCAGAACAGTCTTGCACACACCAGGTTTTAGTGAACTGGCTTTACTGTGAGTTTGCTTAGTTACTAACTTCAATTAGGTCAAAATCTAATGACATTTGGCTTCTTCCGTGATATGGCAGGAGAATTAAATTTGCAAATAATAAGATAAAAGAACCATTCCATTTTTAATTCTTCTTCCTAATAAAACGGGTTACATATTAATTAGAAGGCTTTTACTTCCTTAGCCGAGGTGTTAATTATTGTAATTATTTTGCTGCAATGTCCTCTTCTCTGTGAAGCAGGATGGACATAATTTTTAGCTGGAAAACCAAGCAGATTGGCAACAGCCTCAGACTCTCTGGGTAGCTGATGAAATAACGATGTCCCACTGTGTCCCATACATACTGCTTAACATAGGCAGAAGCTGCTGATATTGATGATGTCACACTGTCTCCAGTACAGTATAAACTGTAAAAATATTCTTCCCCTTCCAAAGATGTCCCATGATCATATACATATTGCTTTAAAGAGAATACATTTAATGTGAATAAACTGCAAAGGAAAATATAAATATAGAATACAATTGCCTATTTTATTCAAGCGAAAATTCAACGCATAAACATGTTGAGTTTGAAAATTTGAGTTCTGACAAATAAAATCACTTTTGTAATGTACCAGAAAGTGGCAGAAGCTATAGATAAGGCTGTCACGTTGTTATTGATGTCACAGTAAATACTGATGATGTCATACTATCTCCATTACACACTGCCCAGAGAGTGGGGGGTGGAGCTTACTAATGATGTCACACTGTCTCCGTAAGACACTGCTCAGAGAGTGGGAGGAGGCGGAGCATATTGGTGATGTCAAACTATCTCCATTAGACACTGCCCAGAGAGTGGAAGGGGTAGAGCCTACTGATGATGTCACACTGCCCTGAAGTCTATGAGCTAAGGCTTGTGATTGGTGGTTGGGATGGAATTTAGGGTGCCAAGGCGTGTGGGCTGGACCCTGCGGCTTGAGTATTGTTCTTGAAGAGGCTCCACAGTAGCAGAGCACAAGGACTGAGACTGATGATACCTCTTCCGTCAGCCCTGACTGTGACTCAGTGACTGTTACAGGACTAACACAGGCTAACATAGGTTAGGTTACCTCTATGAAAAAGCACTACACAGACCATAAACACAGGCATTTCTGGATTTTACTGTATATATAAAAATGTGATTATAATGAATGGTACAAACTAATAAAGTTGATTTTCTAAATCAGCCCGACCTTGGCCTCTTTCTCCATTGTGGGTTCTATTCAGATAAAAAGCACGACATAATTGCAAGGAATTCTTAATCCCACAGTATGTCTTCCTTCTGAAGGAACAGGCTAGCGCTACAGCATGGACTGTCAAACAAGCCACATGATTGGAGCTGTGAACCAGGCGAGAGCCATGTGATTGGTGGAGCCAGGCGAGAGCCATGTGATTGGTGGAGCCAGGCGAGAGCCATGTGATTGGTGGAGCCAGGCTCCTACTATCCGAAGTAACAAACCAGCTGTATCAATGGAGCATCTGTAGTATGAACGTCAGGGGTGATGTCACTTTCATTATGTGGTTATAACAGAAATTGTGAACATGGACTGACAAAAGGATTTCACCTTCAAATAATGTCATTTAACTCGGACTTTATCCTCTTCCTTTAAGGGAAATTTGTTTTGGGTATGAGTTGAACACAGCATACCACCACCCAACAAAGAGGTCAGGATAAACAATAATTCAGTTACAGAGAAAATAAATGTCTTGCATTGCAGACTTCTATTCCTCAAAGGTGAAATTGCAGAGAGCACGAAAACTTTCCTAGATCTGCTGTTATGGCGATAACCACGGTGCAGGTCTTGTAGCCGCCTACGCCAACTAGTTTCAAGTGGTCAGACCCTCTCCTGGCGCTGGCTGTCAGGACGCCACAGAGCCACCAGCGCTATTCCAGGCAGCAGATACAAAGTTATCCTTTTTATTCCTACAGCCACAGATTAAGAAATTAAGAAAAAAGGTCACAGAAATATCCCGATCGTCCCCAGCCACCAGAGGAGCAGAAGGAAAGAGGAAACTCGAGGAGTGATCCTCACAGGCCCTGCCATCCCTTCTCTTTCTGTGACTCCGCATAAACCTCAACAGCCCCGCTCTCTGATCGTCACCATATCCCGATGCTTCTCCTCCTTCCATACTGTCAAAAAAAGAAGAAAAAAAAACTCTGCAGCCCTCCTGTCGACTCGAGCTTCTCTGCCTGACCTGACAGTCCCAATCAACACTCCCCATCACACACTCCCACCCCGCTCTCCGCAGCAGGTACAGGGCAGGGGGAGGAGACAGCGCCCCCGGCCAGGGCAGTGAGCGTGGGGGCGAGGTCTAACGAGTGGGGGCTCATTAATGAAGTGATTGCGTGCAGTTAATCGGGTATGCTGGTGCATTGTCCCTCCTCTGGGTCTCTCTGTTCCAGGTCAGGTCTGGCAGCCCCACGCCACCGGATGTGTCACTTCTGACCAGGGAAAACGACGGGTGTCTGCGCAAACATCGTGGATCGGCAGCTGCTGATGCCTCAAGAGGGGTGGAGTATAAGCGGTTGAGCAGGGGTCTCTGAGCCCTGCCCCCTTCTCCTTCCTGCCTTGTTGACCGACATCTGCTGTACTGTTTGAACTACAGGACGGGACAGCTGCAGAAGGAGAGGGAACCAGACGCAAAATAGAGGAAAAATACACCATAATAGAGGAAAAACACTCCGGCCATTATTATCAAAAACAAAACCGCCCCCAAGCCACTGCCCTGCGCCACGTCCGTCACACCGCGACACAATGACCGTTATCCTTTCGGGCACATGCAGCACCATGTCATATTTTCCGTGTACTTTATGTTATAGCTGGTGTACAGTCAAAATACATAAACAGGTTACCCTTGTCTGACTCGCTTGCAAAAACACCGCGCGATACTGGGAAACGCTGCTCCAGCTTGCCATGTGTTTGAGGGGCACTAGACCATATCCGCACTGCACCACACTGAAACAACACTAAAAACTTTTAAATAGTTTGGGAAGTTAGCGTGGCACCTGGCTGCCAGTGCATGTCTGTGAAAGAATGGCGTTTGAACAGTAACCTCCTAAAATGCAGAAATGATCACGTCCCTCGTATTCGTGCTTTTACGGTAGCGCGCCAGCGACCTGCGGCCGCTGTTGATGACGCAGTGGGTTAAAGTCCCGAAGTAGCCGGAGTGAAATATAGAGAAGAGTAAAAGGGAGGACAGGTTGGACGCTTAGGTTGACGAAGTTCTGGTCTCTTGTCAGTCGGGCTGTCCTGGAGGAGGACCGGGGCGCCCGGTCAGTGAGTCCCCGACTGCCTGTGGAGCTCCCACTCACACGGGTGTCCGGTGTGGAGCTGGCACTCGTGGGCAAGCCCGCGCTGACAAGGGTGAAACCTAAGCGATCACGGGCCAGGCAATGTAACCGAGCTGCCCACAAGTGCAGCGCTGGAGCGGAAGTTTACTTTTCGTGGTCATTTTTACTTTTTGCTCGTAGTAAAGCGAGGAGCTATTATCTGAAAGGCGACACGACTTGTCTGCCAGTATTGCTGCTGTTATTCTCAGTCGGTAAGCAGTCATGGCAGCAGCGGAAGGGGTGATCTGGTAGCGCTGTGTGTTGTTACACACGATCTGTTCCCTGTAACGTAACCCTGCAGTCTTGGCCAGAGCAGGGGCGGCCGTGACTCCCGTGTTTCCCTGTGTCTTCCTGTCTCTGCCCCTGTCCAGTGCCGGCGGCTATGGCCGGGGTCTTCGACATCGACCTCGAGAACGAGGACGTCAGCGACCCCGACGACACCGGGGTGAGTAGGGATGAAAGGGGCGCCCGTGTCGGTCCCTTTCAGGAGGGTGACGGGACAGTGCCGCGACGCCACTCCCCGCTTAGTCATATTGACGAGGAGTAACCGACCGAATAAACTTCGTTCAGCCTTCTGATCGTCCGGGCTGCCTCTCTCGGTTGTCAGGTGCATCTGGCTTCTTCTGTTAACGCGATGCCTGTTCTGTTGTCTCTTTAGGATGAGGTGTTCGACCCTCCCGGGGCAGAGCCTGACTTGTGAGTTCAGTCTTTGCATCTCCGTGCGAATGTTAATCTTCCCTGATTGTATAGATTTGTGTTTCTCT